CTACTACTTCTTCTTTATTTAAGTCTCTATCTTCTAGCCGGGCACAAGTACCCTACTAATCGGGGAGACTTTAAGTTTGACAATTTTTTAGGTGACCCTGCCCTTCTTCATAAAATGATTGTTAGTGGTTCCATCGAAATGGAGAAAATTAGCAGCTATACCATGGAAGATGTCGTTCGAGCTTGTTCAGCGTGSGGAATACCAACTTCAGGAAAATCCAAGGTATTTTATTACCCACAAGTGCCCAACCACAAACATCCCATACTGTACACATCATTTAAAAATAGCATTACGTTGGTGTCTTTTAATTTTTACTTGAATTTTCAGGAATATCTGAGTGGAATGTTGAACAGTTTGTATGAGGCAATATTGGTTGGTGTCTGCCCTTGCCATGGATTTGGTAGCCTCCCAGGCCACACCGGAGGATTTTATCATATTGTCTGTCGTCATGGGGTAATWAAGTTAATGTCGACGTATATGAGATATTCTATGCCATGTACAGTCTAAATTAATTGAGATTTTTTTAAAATTTTAGACAACAGTTGCATCAAAGTTCCTTACTTTAACGGAATCGGTGAGGGATGCTGCAGATTTGTACCTTTCTTTAAAGTACCCACCTACTGTATTCATAAATGACACCCCAYGTGGGTTTGTACGTCACCTTGAGTGCAGAGATCCAGCAAAAGCAAAGCAATTATGGGGAGATAATGCTGGTTGTTTTGAGAAACCCGAGGTCGGAAAGGAACCATGCAAGGTATATAATTATAAGGTTTTACTTTATTTTCTCTATTTTTCAATGTAGTAATTATTAAGAGATCAATTTGAAAATCGTAACCATGGTTTTATGGTAGCCTATGTACAACCGCTTCCCAGCCATTCCCCCTACGGGAATAAAACCGGGGGTGAGGGGTGAAAAGCGGCTGTACATTTACTTCTTTATAAAAACTGAATACTCGGTTAAAATATTAAATGTGTAAAATAATTTCTGACTGTCAAGTTTATTTTTCCTCACAGGACCAAAATGTCCCAGAGCTTGTAACCCCAGAGTACAGCGATAGCTCTCTTGATGGACGTACTGGGAAACATTTCGTTCTTGGGGACAGATTTCACGCTGCTGCAGAACCCCATAAATCCCCTCTTTGCGAATATCACGACATTAACTTATGTCTTCAAGCGAATGCCATTAAAACAAGCACACAAGAGTMGCAGAATAACAGAAAAAACACAAAGAGATTAAGAAGCTCATGTATGCAGAGCTTTGAAGTGCACATCTTATATAATTACTTAATGGACTATTACCAAAATGAGGAAATTGTAACGAAACAAAGAAAGCTCTTAGAAAATCATTTGGGTCGAGGTCAAACTTTAGTAAGAGACGACTTACTTAGGTTTAAAATAAATGTAGAATAAATGCAATTGCCCTATTTCATAACAACGTCAAATCAAGCTATTGTTTTTGACTGGGGATCATGGTCACCGGAGGGGGATGGAAAGACACAGCACATTTAAATCACAATAAAATTTGGTTTATGAGCTGGTAAAGGCAAGAGCAGCAAAATATGACGCTAAATATCTCGAAATAAGAGAATTAAGCTTMAATTTAGAATAAATTTATTGTTTTCTCCCACTGAAGTTTGTTTACTACGACTAAAGGTCAGTCTAGCCYCCTTAGCAGCCACGTTCTTAGTGTAGAGAAGTTGTTGCGTGACGACCCTAATGTCTGCRAAGAAGGATAAGGTCAGTCAYATCAAAGCAGCTTTATTCGAGGRTAATAAAGCACCAGCACTATTTCAATAGCAGAGGAGACTCTAACCCCAACAATTCACACTAAATTTCGCCCGGACAAGAAATAAAAACATGCTACTATACTACCTTGCCTGAAGTGCTTAATCAACCAGAAACTCGATCATTCGGCATTATAATAACTTTCAAATACGGAATTCAACTCGAGAGAGGTTTTGAGGCTTCTTAACTTTTCTATTAGGATACTTCCAAATGACGGAAGGGTACAATAAAGTAAATAAAGTTTATAATCGACSAGGTTTATAATCTCTATGTTCGAGTGTGCTACAACAGGAGTTTACTTTATTGATACTAACATATTCGCTTACAAATATACCGCTAGCCTGTGAACGCCGAAAATCCATTACCTAGATTGGCTTCTCAACCCTTTTACAAATCACGAAACTGCGATCGTGAAGTCGGACTCGAAAGATGAATTTGGAATACAAAGTTCAAAATTATATTCGTAGATTCCAAYGTRGCCGGAGTCTTATCAATATGATACGTCTTTCCAATTGGTGGACAACCCTGACCACCGCTAAGCCTATGTGAACCAATCAGAATCACGCTTGCAAACAGTGAAGCCTAACAGACTTCAACACGGTTTTACTATTGTTTTCTATAATTTGACTCAATAATGTGTTGGGAATGAGGTAGGGAATGGTGTTTTGCATGTTTAACTTCATGGTGGAGTCACGGCTTATGTTCACTGTATTTTCAACAGCTTGAGTGACGGTAGGTGCAGCACTTGAAGATGACTTGTCGCCAGTTCCATCATTTTCTGTTGGCTGGTCTGTAATACATAGTAAAACATGGACGAGAGACATATTTCTCTGTGTTTGAAATGTTTGGTCTTACTGGAGTGCATCTTGCACTCCTGGCAAGAACTAACAATTTTTCTTTGCCCTTTGTTTGTGGTCGTTTTCACGTGGCAATATCCAATGGAATTCGTAGAAGAAGCAAATCCATTGATACRATAAGAGCTCTCTGACACTTGGACTCTAGATGAAAGTAAAGAAGTTTGCATCACATTTGAGTGTGCTTTTGGTCAGCTGGGCACACTTGTAAGAAGAAATAAGTTCCTCGGATCGTTGATAAATTGTGAGTGGTGAAACAGCTCCCGTTAACTTTGAAGTGTGGGGGCATGAGAATTGTTGTGGGTTTTGGCTGTTCACATGCAGAGATCTAGATTGAAGGCATTTATTTAGAAGGCACCGACAAATACCATCATCCTCAATGACAAAACACCTGGAATCTTTTCGTGGGCCTTAACGGAGAATATCTTGATGCCAAGATGGTGCCACGATGGTTAGCGACCAGCACGCAGTCTGGTGTGTTCGGCTTTAATTTCTTTTCTTTCAGCGTGTATGATCCGCCGAGAGGGAATCTGCAGTCCTGGCAATTGACTCATTTTCCTCCAGGTAGCTTGCCAATTCTGGATTCTTTGCGAGGGAGACCCATGAGTTGTAGTCCTCACCGTAACTTTCCCATTTCACTAAAACCTCGCCTTCTCTCCTCTCTTTGACCTTCTCGATCGCCCACAGCTTCTTTCGTAGATTTTCCTCTCTTTATCTTCGTCTTTTAGTAAGATGTCGATGATTTCGGCATCACAAAACATTTCCTTTTCTGTATTTTTATCCAAGCGTCCAGAAAGTGTTATGAATGTCATCTTTGCCCAGATACAGCAAGTTAGGGGAAAACCGGTCTCCCAAATATGGAATGCATTAACCATATATGAGAGAGTAAACGCCAACTTTTTCAATTCAATGTTCCATATGCCGTGGCTTGTAGTGGTTGAAAAAACTGGCTTTGCAATAACTGCAAGATCCTTGACCACGTTCACTCTAAAAGAAAACAGAACATGGTCTATCCTTTCATCTTAAAGATCTAGAATGCCGACTCACACGTTATGATTTATACGTCCAATAACATTCAGTATTTGTAACCAAACATACCATGTAGAATAGTCACGCGGTGGAGAAGTTGACGGTGATCCAAGCGAATAAATACTAAGGATAACTTGATGGTGATCCAAGCGAATAAATACTTCAAAAGTTATTGCAAAACAAATTAGCAAGTACTCCAAGCTTTGATACTTCAAGCGAAATAAATTCAAAATACACAACAAAAACTAATACACCAATTGTGATTGGTCCTATATGCACCAATCAAAACAGATATTTACTAAACAAGGGATGTGATTGGTACGATACCGTCGAAACCGTCAATTAGCTACGAACCAATCACAGCAAAGGTTACGAGAAGCGCTACACTACTGCTTGGTGATTGGGTTATTTGGCTATGCTAAATTATTCTCTTCTCTTGTTGACTGGTTTCAGGTCAAGGAAACTACATAGTATATTTCTCGCTGCATGTCATTTCCCGATTGCCTTCATACGGAGAGCCAAAACTTGTTTACCTGGAATCTTTTACTTTAGTCCGATGTATTGAACTTCGAATCTGAATGCTGTGAATGACACTCTGTAGTGACACTTTATGATCCAAGTGGAACCTAAGCCTTGTCTTTTAGTAACATTTTCAAGAAGTTCTAAATCTCCAACACAAAAACGACAACACGCGGGTTGCTGAGGATGCGACTGTAACTCTTTCGTCTRAATAATAACTCTTCCAGCAACTTTCTCTCAAGAATCAGAATCAGAGTTGGTTCGGTAGTGAGAATTCTCCTTTCTTTGATGTGCTATTTTTTCGTGACTAGCACTGGTTTGCAGTTCAGTCGTAGCATTATCTTCCTTCAATAAAGCTTCTTCTTGGTTATAATAGGAACCCAAGTCACTGTGTGCCATTCACAACAATTTATATGTGTCAGTTTTCTGGCCCTTTTTTCTTTTAGACTTCAAACTTTTTGGTAAAAATGGATTCGTACGCTTTCGGTCTTGTGCTGACATATTACTCAACCATCATAAAAGTGACTAGAAAATTATAACCGAGAAGTACAACAACCATAACAAGTATCAAAAACTCTCCACTCGTGGCAAATGTCTGAAATAGAGGATTGTCGAGCCGATGATCTAAAATTGGTCTAAAATGCTCAGTATTGAGCGAATGACCTAGCTGGTAAATGTAAAAATGTAAATGATGCTCAGTCATAGCAACTTGATGTAATAGCGACGTGTGACAGGTCGTTGACAAGTGATGTCAACAGATAATTAAAGACAATTAAAGCTAAAAACCGTAATTTATTTTTTACTYGCTATTAAAAATCACTAGCGAAAATGTTTTGGGGGAAATTTAAGAATATTATATATTTTATCGGAAAATGTAAAAATGCAAAAATCGATACTTTTGAGCAATTTTGGGGTTCCCTCCCGCRGGGGTTCCCTTTTACCTTAAAAACCGCATTAAGTCAACATCAATGGTTACTTCTTCATCTAAGTTAGACTAGACATTTTTCCCCTTTTTTGCTTGATGTGACTCATCCGGCCTTCGATTTCCTGGAGCATAAAGACATTGTTTGAATGTCTGCAAAGATTGCTACTCTAAACGGAGGAAGAACTTTTCACACAATTGCCACATTTCACTCAGAACTTAAAACATTGACAGGATTTACATATGAACTACAGAACACGATTTAAAAAGAAAGCAAAACAAAAACTTCAAACTTAAATTTTAGTTGCAACAGCAGCAATGTGGCTGAAGATGATTCCCAGTATTTCTCATATATGTCTCTATAGAGTAGGTGCATGTTACGTCATTGCCGCCATCTTGTTTGACGATAACAAAGCATTCATTAGCTTCTCTTGTTAGATCAGCCAAGATGGCGGCATATCTCAAGGGATTATGAGTCACATGGTTGCACATACTCTATTGACTGAGGTGAAATCGAAATTAAATAATATCAAGCATAATAGAAACAATTGAGGTTTCTAGTATAACAACAAATTACATCTGACAAACCAAACCTATTGAAATAACACTTGGTTAAGGTATTGAGGTTGACTTTGCAACGGATTAAACTGCAGGTTGCAGGTTTGCAGCACACAGTACATTGTGACTGATCTTTTCTTCTGTGTATGTCTTCTTGCCTTGTCTAAAAGTGTGATTATGCTATTTTGATATTTGGGAGCACGCGATGGGAAACGTATAATGGGCCTAAGACAGAAAACCATGCAATCTGATTTCCAGCTTCGTAACCAWCTATAAAAAGTTATTCAGTGTGCGTGTGTGATGCAATAAAGTATTGTCCCAAAAGGGGAAAATATTGTATGGATGAAGGCTAATATACCCTGATGAATGCCGATGAAACCTGATGACTGCTGATGAACCCTGATGAATGCTGATGAAACCTGATAAATGCTGATGAACCCTGATGAATGCTAATGAACCCTGATGAATGCTGATAAACCCTGATGAATGCTGATGAACCCTTATGAATGCTAATGAACCCTGATGAATGCTAATGAACCCTGATGAATGCTGATGAACCCCAAGTAAGTAAAATATGCATATTAATGACTGTAGATGTTTGTGGGTGGGGAAGCGGGTCCTATCTGGATGAATCACCTGCAGTCACTCTTAGAATGTTCATGTATATTAATCATTGTTTTTGAAATTTACAGAGAAGAAGAATAAAGTAGAAGAAATGAAAAAAGACACTGGTATGACTGCGGTTTTTGATACTCTGCGACCTCAGTAGTTAGAAGCTTCACGTTGAAATTTGGTTTTTCACTGCGTTCAATCAAGAATAGGGACCTTAAGCTGCAGGACGGCACCGTTGGCGACAACGTCGGCGAAGTTGAGGCGCTTCAGCCTTCTATCGTATTTATATTTCGTGTTTACCTTGTATTTTACTCAATAAGCATCCCCGTTTTAGAGTGAAATAACGTCTTTTGGGAGCGCTTTACTTATAACAAAAATCAGCAAAGATAAGCTTTTGGCGTAGCCGTTCTCTTTAGTACGTAAAAATAGGACATTTCACGTCTTACTTTCAGCATAAGACGGCAATGATGCACAGTGTTTCGTACATTCCAACGAGTATCTATTGAATAGCGCAATTACTGCTATTGTATGGTTGCCGTCGTTGTCCTTTTTTCAGTATCCTGTACTAGTATTTTATACAAGCAACACAACAGCTATGTCTTTAGAATACCAATCAAATGGACAGTCCCTGAGGTTATTAGTTCATCCTATACAAAACATTTAAGGGTGGCCCTCAACACTTTGTTGGGAACCACTTTTCCTTAAGGGGAGGGTAGGTTTGAACTTTTGATCTCAAGGACCTTTGTCTAGCTTACCCTAAGGTCAAAAAAATTTACAAAAAGACTTTTCAAAAATTTATGTGAATTTTTTACTTTTTTAAAGCCAATTGGATTTTATCTTTTTCTGTATTCTTGGTTGACTTGTCCAGTTTTTCCTTTAAGACCTGACCACCTTACCTGGGATTTGAACCTTGATATCGCCACTTGCCTTGAAGTCTCTCATACTGTACTGTATACCATCAGTTAGATTGTTGAATGGTTAGGTATCAATGTACCTTAAATCATATAGCTCTTTAATAACCTGAATGAATTACTCAATTAAAGTTCTTATGAATACTTAATGTATTGTTTATTGTCTGAACGAAACAATTGGAGTATTGAGGATGACAAAGGCAGATGATTAGATGGGTGGGGTAGAGGTGTGACGGTAACCGAAAGGTAAAATGACTAGGGTACAAGTAGCTGCGGTGCTGAAAAAGTTAGAAGTATTTGAGCAGGAAAAAGTTTTTTTGGAATGGATCGTTGGGTAAGGAGGCTGAAAAAAATTTTTGGCGGGAAATAGCTTGTCGTGTGGGTTAGAATAGGGGGCAGGGTTTCTGAAAAAAATTCCGAATTTTTTGGCGGGGAAAAAAAATTGAAAAGGGGTGTACCAAGCAATAAACAAACAAAAAAAAAATACAAAATAGGTAACATTGAATACGAAATATCGATCTTTTGACAAATATAAATGGAATAGAGATTTTAATTCGCCCGTGAAAGAATAGTCAACGTAGTTTATAGACCAAAATTTGTTTTACTTGGATTTCAGTCACTAATTGTACAACTTTCCTTCACGGGCCAAGTAAAATCATTCTATAGATACAACATYTTTGGACATTTTGTACTGCTTGCTTCAAGCAATAAAAACACGTCGGTTGTACATCAGTATCTGAAGAATATCCTTTTCCACTTTTTATTCTTTGATTGCGTCCATGATTGGATAGTCTAATAAAAATAGATAGAATCTATTATTTGTAAAGGTAAGTTGTTGTGCCAAGAAAATACAATGATATTGTTCCAACCGTTTCTCTTACTTTTACGGTATGCATTATGCATGTTTGTACTGATACATCACATGTCGTCATTCAGGCCAGTAGATATGCATTATGCATGTTGTAGTGTTACATCACATGTCGTCATTCAGGCCAGTAGATATGCATTATGCATGTTGTGCTGTTACATCACGTCGTCATTCAGACCAGTAGGTATGCATTATGCATGCTTGTACTGTTACATCACATGTCGTCATACAGGCCAGTAGATATGCATTATTCATGTTTGTACTGTTACATCACGTCGTCATTCAGGTCAGTAGATATGCATTATTCATGTTTGTACTATTACATCACATGTCGTCATTCAGGCCAGTAGATATGCATTATTCATGTTTGTACTGTTACATCACGTCGTCATTCAGGCCAGCAGATATGCATTATTCATGTTTGTACTGTTACATCACATGTCATTCAGGCCAGTAGGTATGCATTATGCATGTTGCACTGTTACATCACATGTCGTCATTCAGGCCAGTAGATATGCATTTTGCATGTTGTACTGTTACATCACATGTCGTCATTCAGGTCAGTAGATATGCATTATTCATGTTTGTACTATTACATCACATGTCGTCATTCAGGCCAGTAGATATGCATTATGCATGTTTGTACTGTTACATCACATGTCATTCAGGACAGTAGGTATGTATCATGCATGTTGTACTGTTACATCACATGTCGTCATTCAGGCCAGTAGGTATGCATTATGCATGTTGCACTGTTACATCACATGTCGTCATTCAGGCCAGTAGGTATGCATTATGCATGTTGAGCAGTACATCACATGCTGTGAGGGGCACACACTGTTAAATAAAGCAAAAGGTATCATATTCAAGACATTATTATCCATTAATTATATTGCTCAAATCTATAAACGCCTTAACGGATCGTAGTACAAAAAAGTTAACTATTGCAACATTTTTTTGAATGGCCTGCCCTAACTATCAGCTGCCTATATTTCGAAGACATTAGAATACTGCTGCGAGATTGAACACGAAGACTATCACCTTGCCTTAGGCAAAAAGTCTAGAAACATTACTAACGACATTTGATTTATATCAGTACCAAACTAGGTTGTTTGCGCATGTTGCGAATCTGCCGCCAATACAATCACGAAATTTATAAACACTTAAAGGAGTTGCTCTAAATTTCAATGAACTGCAACTGAAGTGCATGAGAGATGAGGCGGTAAGAAYAAGCGTAATAGGTAAATTACGAGCCTTATATGAAACGACTGAAGAAGGGGGCCAATGGGCCTTTCACAACTACAAGTCGCGTAAAATGAGCCAGCTCAACTAGAAACCGTGGACAAATGCAACTGAAGTACATTAATTGCGCGCATGGAAGAATATGCATATGAAATGTGTGCGTTACAAATAAGTTATTTTTAATAAAAAAATGACCATGAACTGCCATTACAACTGATAATTTGTTAGAATATGGTGAAGTGATAGACATTTACGACTGACACTCATTTGGTCATCGCGACTTCCCTCCTTACGTTCGCCACTCCTCCTCCGTTGTTTAACAAAGACTTGATAGAAAAGTATAGCGGCAATGGCTACTCATTTATTTTATACTTCATATATTTGCCGTTCATTTCTAATTCGCCTTTTGATTGGTAGTTCATACCTCAACTACCAAACATAACACGAGAAAAAGATCTCAGAAAACTTTCAAATGTTACATCGTTTAAGAAAAGTTATTTTAAACTTTTATTCTCGCACTTTCTCGCATGGATTTACTCTCGCTAAATGAACATCGTAACTTTTTAATGACATTCTTAATGATAAAAACCACAGACATTATTTATTCTTATTATTATTTATTATGCATTATTTACTTCCGCCATTASATAAAGCCACCAGGTACACTTCAAGACATACAAGAACCTTTGACTTACTTTAAACAAGACTAAAACAGAATTTATATCACAGCAAAAACTCAACACCCTTGCTGCTATACCAGTTCTCGAGTACACTTCAAGACATACAAGAACCTTTGACTTACTTTAAACAAGACTAAAACAGAATTTATATCACAGCAAAAACTCAACACCCTTGCTGCTACACCAGTTCTCGAGTTAAATGAAGAACCAATTACTCAAGTGAGTACAACGAAATCCCTTGGTGTACTCATAGACAGCAATCTTACCTTTAAAAATCACATTGAAAAGCTTTCCAAAAAATACGCAGTCTAGAACTGCATGCAGCTTCTCTTTTGTTGAAAAAAACGCAGAGAATACATTTTAGGCAGAATGTTTCATGAATGAGCATAGCATGGTGTATGTATACATCTAATTGGAAAAAATGTAGTTGGGTTCGATAAGGTCACATCATCGAAGCTAAGATCATTACATGTATATGAAAATGATTGTAATTGCATATATTTCACATTCATACTACCATTTTAGATATATATCATGGACTTACATTGTATGAGAATCAAAAAAATTAAAAATTTGTCAAATAATAATTCATTCAACAATTTTTTTTATTAACAGTTTTTATTAATAGTAACAATAAAAGTATRACGTGTACTTATTTTACAGGTTTATGCTTCCAAGTGTAACATTGCACTTTGTTTGCTATTTAGAAATCTTTAAAATGTAATTGTATGTAAGTTATGGAACTGTAACTCAAGTATTCTAAGTTAATTAACTTGATCTGTATAACTATTTAACATGTTTTTG